CTCCCCCCAGCTCTGCCGGTGCCCCTCACTCCCGACCCGCAGCCCCTGCTAGCCCAGCCCTGGGCTCCCCCCAGCTCTGCCGGTGCCCCTCACTCCCGACCCGCAGCCCCTGCTAGCCCAGCCCTGGGCTCCCCCCAGCTCTGCCGGTGCCCCTCACTCCCGATCCGCAGCCCCCGCTAGCCCAGCCCTGCCGGTGCCCCTCACTCCCGCCCCACAGCCCCTGCTAGCCCAGCCCTGGGCTCAGCCCAGCCCTGGGCTCCCCCCAGCTCTCAGCCCCTGGCACATAGTCCTGAGCTGGGTGCAGGGAGCAGCCCCTGTGGGTATAACCCCTCCCCCCCAGCCAGGTACCACCCCAAGGCGCCTGCCCCACCCCCGCTATCCCATCCCGGGGGCAGCTCACCTGGGCCCGGGGACTTGCCCCTCAGGCAGGGGCTGAGGTGCCCGACGCGCTCGTGGGACACCAGCCTGGCCAGGCGCAGCCCCTCGTCCATCAGCGTCTGTTGCAGGATGTGACGGCTCCAGAGCCCGTGGGCGGGGAGGCTGAGGGGCAGGTCGGGGGCGGCGCTGGGGGGCGGCGTGAGGCGGGGGCAGGAGCCGACGGCTGCAGAGAGAGAGAGAGCGCGCGTCAGTGGAGAGAACGGGGGGGGGGTCAGATAGGTGCCAGGGGCTGCAGTCTCTGCCTCCCTATAGCGGCTATGGGGGGGGGTTGATGCATGGGCACCCCGCCCCCCATGCCCAGTAGCACAAGGGGCGTCTGTGTCCTGCCCTGGATCTGGGCGAGGGCCCTGCGGTGCTGACGGGGTTAATCAATACAAAGCCCCCCCAGCCCTGCTCCCCACTCACCCTGCAGGTGCCCGTCCAGGCTCTCTCCCGACAGGCTGGCCGCGTCCTCCTCCAGGCTGGCTCTGTACGGGGGGGCGTAGGACTCCGACCCCCCCGGCAGCTGCAGGGGCTCGGGGCGGCTCTGCTCACCCACCTGCGGGGCGAGCGGCTGGTTAGGGGGGGGGTGCCCAGCCGGACGGATGGAGGCACCGAGCTCAGGCAGCCCCACCGGGTCTGCAGGCCCAGGTAGCCGGGATGGGGGTGAGCCGGGCCCATCCCGCGTGGGCAGGGGGCGCAGGCCACGCTCTCCTGAGGGCAATGCACCGAGCGCCTCGGCTACTGGGGACGTGGGCTGGGAATCCCCCCAGCAGGCAGCTCAGAGCCTGGGGCAGACCCCGGCTAAGGAGGGAGACACTCCCCCTCCCCCAGTGCCAGCTCCTCTCCCTCGCCCGCTGCTCCAGCGCCCCCAAAGCCAGCTGCCGTCCCCACCGCCTGGCACTCAGCCACACACAGCCCAGCAGCACCCCCGGGGCACCCGCCCGTCCGGCGCCCACCTCCTGCTTCAACTTCTTGGGCTGCACGGCTCCGCTCTCGTCCGGATGCGACCTGCGCGGAAGCGACAGGACAAACAGCGTCAGGGGCCGGGAGATGCTGCCGGGAGCGGAGGGTTCAGACCTCGGCTCGAGGGGCAGGCAGAGACCCCGCAGCCTGGGGCGGGGGGATACCGGAGCCGACGGGTCTGCCGGGACTCCTCCGGCTCAGCCACCCATCGCTCCCTGGGGGGAGGGACAGTCCCGGCTAATCTAGGGGGAGGAGGGGGTTGCAATCCGGCGCCTGTGGCACCTCCCTCCCCCCCCGGGGCACCCCTGATGTCGCCCTCCCTGGGAAGCCGTGGTGCAGATGGAAAATATCCAAAGCGAAAGAGGAACTCGGGGGCCGGGCTGCAGGGCAGGTGGGCGGCTGGCTTGGCAGGGGCGGGGGGGATGAGAAATCCCCCATGTGGAGGAGAGGAAGAGGAGGCTGAGGAAGGCAGTTTCCAATGCCCCCTCCCTCCACAAGAGGGAGCGTGCAGGCGGCGCCACTGCTGGGCACTGGGGGCAGATAGAGGTGCATGGGCACCCGGCCCCCCACGCCCAGTAGTACAAAGGGGGGGAGAGCAGGAGTCTGCAGCTGCCTCCCCACGGCCTGATGCCCTCTGTGCCCCTTACCCCACTGCTCTCCCCCCCTCCCCTGTGCCCCACTCCACTCCTCTGCGCCCCACTGCAGCCCCCACCCCATGCTCTGCTCCCCCAGGGCCAAGGGGCCCCCAGCCTGGCCCAGGGGTGTCTCCGGGGGTCCCCGCAGCGAGGGAGGGGCCCAGCTCACCTGGCTCCCTTGAGCGAGGACAGGTAGGTGCTTTCCCGGGCCACCTGGCGCGACAGGGAGAAGAGCTCCACCCGGCGCAGCAGCAGCGTGTGGTCGCGCAGGCAGAACTGCGCTGCCGCCTCGTTGATGGTCAGCTGGGGGGCGAGACGGAGGCCGTTAGCGGCGGGGGGGGGGGGGGCGAGGAGCCTTGACACCATGGGGAGGGGCAGAGAGA